CCGCTCCCTCTCCATTCCTCCCTTTGATTGCGCTATCGAATTAATCAAATTCAATAGCGCGTATCGTATCGCCGGACAAAAAAAAAGAGAAGGCATGAAATGAAAAATACATATACAAGAACGGCTATATCTGTGTGTGTGCGCGTATTTATCGTAAAAGAACACTGGCAGGGCGTATATTTCAAAGTACACACGGTTGTCTTTGCGGCTGCGTGTGATTGTACACAATCTTTCACAATATCCTTTCGAGGCGAGTAATCGGAAGCGATTAATCTCTCGCCGTCTTCAACTACAAGCTGCTCTACTTTTTGTCGTCAGCTTTCTCGGGAAAGTTTAGACTCTCATAATTCGATGTTCCGATGTCTCGGCACATTTTTCCGAGCGCGAACCGAGTCGTAAATCGCGACGCCGATTCTTCAGGTTTTTCGAACGAAAAAATGATATTAAAATAGGAAAAAGAGAGAGAGAGAGAGGGGGAGAGAGAGAGAGAGAGAGAGAGAGAGAAGCGCCGTTTCACGGCTGTTTACCTTCCATTGTGAGGGAAGGGGGGATAATACGTGACTATATGTGGACTAGCGCGTTAAATATATGTTCATCGCACTCTGCATGCCTGGTTTAATCGAAAAATTCATCGAGTATAATTTTATTGCATTCCTTCGTTCCGATCAGTGGACGCTTCGGATCTAAAGCACGTGCATACAAAATTTCCGACAGATTAATATTTGCGATCCGTTCGTGCTGCCGATTTGGCGAGAAACTTTATACAATATAATTGAGAGAAGTAGCAGTCTTTTTAAATCGATAATAACTCGCACATTTTTCAGAGAGGAAGAGAGAGCAATATATGTAAAGCGTATGATTATTTCGATATGAAAAGAATTACGTTTCTCTTTCGATTAAATTGTACAAATGAGAAAGAGCATAAGTGCTGGATATTGGTCAAGATTTCTTTGGAAATCCTTTTTGTTTCGCGAAATGAGGAAACTGTGAATCACACCAAGTCCGAGCCACAGTCTCGGCTCGACGACTCATGCGTGCATTGTTTTTCATAAGCAAAAGCATCTCGCGACCCCATAGCGCGCGTTCGCATACATTTCCATCCATAATTTAAAGCGCGTGCGGGTACGCGCGTGTGAATCCGCGACGCCTTCCTCGAATGCAGACAAGAGAGGGGGGGGGGGGGGGGGATTCCACCTCGAATGCAGACAAGAGAGGGGGGGGGGGAATCTAATTCCACAAGCTCGCGCGATTCGCGCGACTTTGTATGTGAGATGTCGCGTATATGCAGTTCCAGACGCTATGTATGTACATATAAAGGTAAACGTAAAGTTTCTCCCTCGAAGTTGCTGTCGCGGTCGCGTATCCTTGACTCGGTGTACACTCCTACTTGTGCAAATTTTCTCTGCAATTTCCGCACGTCTACATAGGGAGCGAGACTCGGAGGCGTCCCTTGATGTACATATAGGCGTATAGGCGACGCGTATATGTAGACGCGTATACCTCGAAAAGCCTCGATGTTCAAAGTCCATTTCTTTTTGTGTTTTTCTTTTTTTTTTCGGGGGTAGATCTGCATACGCGAGCAATTTCGCGCTCGAGATTCGTCCGATTCTCTTCGTCGCGCCCGCTTTCTCCAAGAATCGAGAGAGTCGCGAGGAAATCCCCGCGGAATTTGCGGCGATCGCTGCCATCGTGGTGGCGGTAAACAACGCGATAAATCGTCCCGCGTCGATAGCTCCTAATTCAGCGGAAATTGAGATACAAGTGGCGGTTGCTGCCTGGATGTATCGACCGATGCGATGCGCAACGTCGGTTGCGACGGCTGGCAAAGGCAAAGCCTCGCGATTCTCTTTCTCTCTCTGTCTCTCTCTCTCTCTCTCTCTCTCGGGGGACAATGCATTCACCCGTCAAATATTCGACAGATCCAAATGCATCGCATCTGCGCGACGAGTTCTGCTCGCTGCTGTGTGATTTCGCTGCGAATTTAATTCTCGATCCGCCATAGATAGAGAAAAACGTACCGCGTTCGCGCGTCCCTGTCACCATTATTTCGAATAGAGATCATTTTAACGCGGCTGTAACATATGAAGAATCGGAATGACCGAAATTGCGTTACAACTTTGATATATTTAGTGGTTCCGAGTGTATTTTAATGCATCAGAGCGGCGTACGAAAAAGTCAATATCAACAAAAGTTTTATCAGTAATTAACCGAATTATACGCACTCCGTATATCCTTTTTTTAATAAAGTGGCACGACGATACTTCAAACATAAACAAAAAATTTATAATCAATAAATTGTTTTAAGTTAATTATCTCTTGTTATTCAATTTCTTTATCATTATACTGTTTCAATAATATAATTATCAACTACAAGATGAGTAATTTTATACGGCGGAGAGAATATACAATACTGTCGTCTAAAACTAAAATCCTAAAATTTTGGATATATTTAGCAATTTTAAATCGATGCCATTTGTATTAAATGAAGAAAAGATTAATATGATTACCTAATTAATTAGAATTATAAAAATTAGTAATACCGCCAATAACCGAATACTATATTAATTAATATTATTTCAAAGAAACAAGTGAATATATGAACAGATTCAGCTTTATTATATCTTAGCATAGAATGAGAAATGTTATGTTATTAACGAGTAACATGTTTTAACTCACTAACTTATTAAAAAAATATGATAAAGAATTTCATTATGTGTGGATCTCTCGCTCCCATTGCACGGCGCGCAGTATTATTCTCTGAAAAAATTTCAATTTTATGGCAAAATCCGAGACGTGAATTTTTTCCAGAAAAGAGGAGCGCTTAACGATAGATAATGACATGAGCATGGTCGCATACATGGCGTGTCGCTATTTTTATGCACCTGACGTCGAGACGCTACCGTGTGATAATAATAACGTAGCAAAATAACTTTTCAAAACATAATAACGCTAATATCGGGCTACCTCTTTTCGTGTGGCAATCTATGCAAATCAGATTTGATATACCTGTTTAAAAACTCCGCGATAAAAATTTATACATACATAGACACTACACATGCACGCACATAAAAGGATCGCGATATAATAAAATCATGTTTTTTGTTCATGAATATATCAGATTTCTTATTTAATAATTCAATATTTTCGATAAATTTTCCATCTTTTCATATTCCGTTTTTCTCATACAAATTTTTCATCGATAAAAACTGATTCATATTTCTTGACCCAAATTTCAGATTGTATTTTCATACGGTAAGAGTTTGATGCTATTTCTATATTACCTTTATGCAGATTTTTATACAGATATAATATATGCATGTAAAAATATTTTCAGATAAAACATGAAAAGATTTGTATATTATTATTGGAATTATATAAATTGTGGATTGATTTGAACAAATCGATGAGTTGTATAAAAAGGCATAGACACATTTATATATAGATATATGTATATATTTGATCGCTCAAATAAGATATGGTTACAAATAAAAGAAGTAGACATTCTTTTTATATTATTCAAAATTATCATTACACAATCAACTTGCATAAACTCTACATCCACTTTTATAGTCTCTTATTGTTAATGCGATTTCTTTAATCCTTCGCGCTTCAAATGCCAATGCCAATTCTTAGGAGGTCTTAGGAGTTTTAAGATTCTAATAGTTTAATTAAATTCTATTCATTATAATATATAAGAATTAATTATATCATATTTTCTTTCTCTCTCTCTCTTTTATATTATTATGGAATTATATTATAATATATAGTATAAAAATGTAATATGAAAAAACTAAATGTAATAATAAATAAGTTATTAAAGTAGTATTGTTAAAGTTTCGCAAAGTGCAAAAGAATAATATATTGAGCGATATACATGTACATATTTTGATGGCGACGTGTGTCTTTCTTTCTGTAAAAGCCTGCGTATTCATCAGTGGGTTATGTTCTGTTTTCAGTGCTGCATGACTATTCGGATACACGAGCATATGTGGGTTTTACGTGTACCGATAGAATATGTTGGGTCCCTCGGCAGCATTAGTCGGCTCGCGCCAAACATAGTTTTGTTACGTTACGTTACGTTATGTTATTTCCAAAGGGACTTCTCCACCAATATATAAAAACTCCATCTAGCTATAATTTAGTTATATTTAGTTTATGACAATTTAATCATACATTGACATAACAAAAAAGAAGGTGATATTTAGGTTTAATTCAAAGTGTTTTATTATACTTATAAGAAATTTATTATGAATTATTATTACTCTATAATATATTTAAATTTTTATATATACGTTGACAGTTTTATATGTGTTAATTATCATTTCTTAAAATGTTTATTGCAATTTCTATGCGATACTTTGTATTATCAACAAATTATCTTAGAATCTTTGAAAGAATTTTCGCAAAATTTTCTCTTAAAAAATAAAATTTATATAAAAACTTTTATAGTATAACTAAATTAATTTTTACTTTTTTTTACTTTACTCTCTACATATATTAAATTTCAAATGGGAATATTGTTAAATACATTTATTGGTATTGAAAGCTTGTAAGTTATTAAAACAAAATGTTGTTTTATAATATCACTTTCTTTTCAAGCTCTTAAAATTTAATGCTTGTTTTAGTCAGGAAAAGCGGCGAAAAATGTGGCAAAATATGTATATAAAAGTCGTGTGAAAAATCTTTAAAAAATCTGATCAAGTATTATTTTCAAGCAGATTTCAGAAATATATATCTAGAGAATGACGAAAGAAGAAATAAATGTCCAAGTGAGTTTATAATTTATTAATTTTCGATCGACCACGTTATTTCAGTTACACGGCGAGGTAAACCGAGTCTCCAGTGACCCCAACTATCCCTTCGGATCGCCACTATTAAATATCATTATCTATTTAGTAGTTGAGGTTCCACGACTACTCTCTTCTCCAAATTGTATTTGTCAGTCCCCTACCCTACTACCTATTAACCTTTTATATTTCAGAAAAAGGTAAGGAAGATGAAATCACGTAAAAAGGAAAGTATAATCGAAAACTGACACAAATATCTGGATTAATCAGATAACGAATTCATCTTCGATAAAGAACAAGATAAAGAATCCATCCTCGACACTAACAAAAGGGAAATAATTGAAGAAAACGAGAAAAAAGCGAGATAAAAAGGAAAAAGTGGTGCGGTACTGTGTTTAAAAAAGGGAACAAATATTCTCACATTGAAAAAGCGGAAGAAGAAGAAAAGAATTTGAATTTAAGGTTTTAAATAATTAGACACTTTTGTGCAGAATTGCGCATGCTAAAATATGAAGAATGTTTGAAAAATTCGTGACTTCGGCATATAGAAAGACGGTGCTTTAATCCTTACGGCATCTTAATTTGCTATCTTTAGTGTAAATATGTATATACGTCACATTATAATCTCTCTATTGAATAATTTTTATTTGCCAACTTGTCGAGGTAATCGTATCAAGTGTACTTTTAAAAATCTCGAGCTTCATGTAATTAAATTTGTAAAAAGAATATATCAAATAAAAAATTAAAGACAACACGAGAGTAACGTTTCATCTTTATTTTCTAAAACTTGCAAATTTCTCTAAGAGATTTTTTTTTTTTTCTAAAGGAATACAAAAATCGTAGCAACGGAAGACATCTCTGCGAGCCTCGACAAGCCAGCTTATAAGAAAGATTGTATTGCAGCATCATTGCACCAACCGTGTCGATCTCAAAAGCAATTACATCTCTCGAGAAATAAAGAAAATTCCACTTCCGTGAAAAAAATTGCTCTCCACGTCAGTCGACAGAGTTTTTCAAATATCCCTCGTATTATCTATTCTCCGGATAACTCACCTCCGTGTCGTTCCACCACATGTGCAGCCGATAGTCCCTGAGTATCGTCGCATGTTCGTTGATGTGCTCCACGGCGAGCTTTACCGCGGGCATGACGCCACGCCCGATGTGACCCTCCGGCACGTGGTTGCCGTATGGGAAGAAGCCGGCGATGTAGACGTCGCGTTTCTTACTGCTGCCGAGATTGATCGGCTTCTGGCCAGCGCACTCGCCAATCAGCAGGAGCCAGCAGGAACACCAGGCGATCACGGCCAGCAGCGCCAGCGAGCGACTCGCCCTGTCGCCGATCGTCGTCACCGTCGCCGCCGTCACGGGAATTTTTCCGGCCGTCCCCATCCCGTCCGTCCTCTTCATCCGGTCAGTTTCGACGACATCTCGCGACGCGCGCACTTTCATCTCGCGCCTTTCCGGATCACTAGGCGTAAGCCCGCTGACGATAAGCCCCGCGCGGCACTCGTCGCCGCTCGTCCACCAACTTCCGCTCTCATGACGAGGCACGACACACCGGAAGTAGATTCGGACACGATTCTCGGACGCAATTCTCCGTAGGATCGACTTGCGATCGATTTGTTACAACGATCGTTGTCCGAGTAACGAGCGTTGCATCTCGCGCCGATCAACACCGACGTCGAGGCATAATTATTTACCAAGGTAACTGGCGATAATTACAATATAGGAACGTGACGACGGAAAATTCCGAAAAATATCCGAGCACGTTTCTAATGTTTCCACGAGTTCAACGGAGATCGGTTAAGCGAACGGATCGCCGCGGCAGGGCTTTGTAGCTCGCTCCGATATAGCAGCAACGGAAATTGTCGATATTTCGCAAAGGGCATGTCGCGGAGGATGCGTTCTTTTTTATTCGCCTGTTCGAGTTTCGTGCTCTACAACCAGGCGAAATGTCGTCATAAACGTCGCGCCTCGGTAATGCTCGAAGGCCTTTATCTCTAATGCTTCATTCCAGACGATTGCACTTTAACGTCGCTCGTGTTTCATCGTCGCCGCAACTGGCATCCCCCGGTTGCATCTGCAAACAGACCCGAGTCAACTGGTTATTTGTTTTGCCAGATTAGAACGAGAGTTTCGTGACGGCGAGGGCGTCGAGTAAATCAAGAATGGTATCAGTTTTTCATTGTCTCGCCTATTTCCGACAAGTGGAATTAGTAGCAGCTTCCCGGAATGTTAATGAAGATTAATGAAGAGCAAGAATAAGGTTAATGAAAAATAATGAGATTAATGAGGAATTGGAGTCTCGGCGAATCTCTTACCCGCAAAGTATAATCGTCGACTCTAATTTTACTTTCGACGCCCGTTCTTTTCTTCCTGATATATTTACTCAAAAATAAAAGAAACAGATGCGAATGCGAATGCGATACGTGCTTATCGCGGTTATTCGCTTAAAATCGTTTAGATGATCACCTTCCAAGACAAGCCGCCCAAGTTATTCTCGTTGTCACGATACGTGTCGACCCATTAACGCTTGCGCCATAACGTCATATCCGAAATTAAAGCTTTATCTCGTTTAGCGTCATCCTCGCTCGAGAGAGGGTGAAGTGTTTAAGGACGCGATCCTATCATCTCGCGCGTTATCAAAGTAAGATAAATAAAGTTCGAGATTCTATCTAAAGTTTAATCCGAGAATCCGAGGCGCCTATCGAGCCGGGCAAAGAGATGAGACCGCTTTACATTGTCGCCGTTAACTTATCGGCTCCGACCTGGCCCACTTTCCGCCATTATTGTGGCCATACTTGATCCACGAGCGATCCTTCAAAAATAGCATATCCTCGGGGCAAACGCGGCGGATATAGCGCGCGCAGGTTTCCGACGACGCGATGTTTGTCGGATATTTGACGATGACACGTCGTCTGGGCCTGGGCTCTCAACTTTTTCCCCTACTTCTAACAAAAGAGTTTCTCTTTCCTGGAAACGGGTGAGAAAACATTTCCCACCCGCGGGGAGACGGAATCAAATAAATCTATTTACGTTCGCGCCAGCAGCGAGCGCGAGAGGCGAAAAATGCGCCGTTCTCCTCTCTCGATAAAAAAAATAGTCATTGCTCTCCCCGTGGGGAGAAAGAATCTAGTACATTCGAATAGAATATATATTTCAGTCACGGCCACCGTAAACATAAAGCTGTCCCATGAGCTAATTAATAATGTCGCGCTATTATTATATTTTATCGGGATTCAACGACACTGTCATATAATCATGTTGCAAGATTGCCGGACGACGCGAGGGATGATCAGCAAAATTGAGATGGAAAGGACCGACTTAAGGCGAAGAGGATTGATGGCGTTGTTCGAAACGAGTAAAATTGTAGGAATGTTAATGGCTTAGAAATCTATCATAATGAACATGGATTCGAGGTCGATGCTATTATGAGAAAGAGGGAAGGGGGAAAGAGAGAGAGAGAGAGAGAAAGAGAGAGAGAGAGAAAGAAAGACAGATAGGAAAAGCTAGTCGTAATATTTTGGAAATGTGTGAAATAGATCTGCCAATGCGATACATCTACAAAATGAATTATGCTTAAAAAGCAGAAAAGTTTCGCTGCTGTTAATAATTGAGAAGTATAGTAGAAATGGTGGAAGTCGCGGCTAAAAACTTTTTTATGGGGATCGGCGCCGGAGAAAAAGAAAAAGGAACAAGACAGCGAGGAGAGCGAGGGAGGGAGGTAGAAAAACAGTAGAAAGAGTCAACGGCTGCGGACGCGACTCGCTCTACTAAATTTACACGCGGATATACCTTCTTACTTTTAACATGACTGTTCAACTTTGGGAAGCCAGATATCTCCAAGTTTTCTTCGGAGATAATTTCTCGGCACTCTTCTTTTTTTCAGTTGCCGGCTTTTGTTATCCGGTGGACAAACTTCCCGTGCACTTGATAAACATTTGTGAGAGACTCTGCGTTTGTTCGTTAAATTTGGATGAAAAACTTCCATAAGAATATATGCGTTACAAGGAGAACCGCGAAAGAGT